TCAAAAATTTACATGAATATAAATGTACTCTATTTTCTCTAATTCAAATGTAATATTCATATGTATGCGTATATATATACACATATTCATGTTTACATGAATATATGTATACATATAAATACATATAAATATAAATATTGTGTAAATTTGATTGATTTGATGATTAAATATTTATGCTACTTAAAAATGATATTTTTTCATAATACATAAACTCCATAATATTCACAAAACTTTACCTTACAAAGCTATTTAAGAAGCAATTTAAGAATTATATTATACACACATATACATACACTGCATGTACATATACGCATATCTAATGTATATAAATATAAAAATAAAATAAAAATAATAAAGAACAAAAAAGTATTTCATAGCGATGTATAGACATGAACAAAGCCATCAGAATCGATTTACGGGAAACGTGCAACGGGCAATCGCGCTGAATTCGCGTATATATCGGTGCCAACTTAAGATAATGCCGTGGGTGCGGTGAAGGAGTTTATCGCCTACGCTCGTCGGGCCGAATGAATGTATAAGTACATATAGCGTCGGAGTCGCTATATCGTGACATTATGCAAGTATCGACGGCAGAATGCCAGCAGTACTATTGCAGGGTTAAGCTCGTCGTTTTAATGCGGCACAAACTGGAATACGCTCAATTATTGTGCGCGAATCCGGAAGCCGATAAGCGCGCGACGCGCCGATAACTCGTAGCGGGATTTGACGAGCCAGCTGATCGAACGTACGAAGCGTGTTGCATGTAAGCGCGGACGCAGCTCAACAGCGAGCCAATTAGTTCAGCGTATGATGCGCTAATCACAGTCAATAAGGCATAATGATACGCAACGATCGGATTTGTAATGCGTGATTACTTCTTTGTTCGATCGTTCCTGTCAGAAAGAATTCGTGTATTGATGGAGAAAAAGATGAAACAAAAGAAAATAACATTCTTGAGGGATAAACATACGATTCTTTGTGATGCTAAGAATTTATAAGAATTATATTATATTTTTACAAATATATCAATTATACCATATATATTTTCAGATCATGTACCAAATTCTCAGTCAAGCGGTTCTTGATTGCAATTATTAATTGAAATTTAACCTCATTAAAACATTTTAACATTTTATTTTTAAATTAAAATATTATTTTCGATAGACTGATATCAATTTTAGATAATATTATCATTTAATTTATTTTTTATTAATTAATATTGTATCAATTTCATAGAAATAAATAGAAAAATATTGATTTTAGATATAAAATCTAAACAGATATCAAATCTATATCTAATCAAATCCAGTCTTTTTTCATTTTTAATTTAATAATTCAATTGTTCTTTGAATATAACAGGTTTATTCTTTGAATATAGATTTTTCATCGAATGTCATAATTTTTACATAATGTCACGCATTTATAATTATAATACAACTATTTATTCTCTTTCTTCCTTTTTAATAGTTGTACAAAAAAGAGTGAGATTTTTTATCTAAAAGTATATATGGCATAAACTTCTAAATAAAATGTACGCCACTGATTTATAGCCTAAAATGCAACATATAGTTATCACAAGCATGCAACATAAAGTTGTATCATTACTCTTACAATTAGTATCAATGTTGAATGTTAGTCGAGCACGATTTTCCGTGGGAAAACATAATGAATCGTTAATAACACGCGAGATATTCGGACTGCTTAAGAATCACGTTGCATACAGGTCACCGGGATCAACTGTACATCCGGATTCCCTCGTTTCGCTCGATTGGTGGCTAATACGTGCCGCGAAACAGGTAGGAATAAATCAATGCGAATAACATAGGTTGTAGCGATCCTTATATCGTGTCTCGTTGCCGCCGTTGCCGGTAAAATCCCGCGGGCTCCAGCTCATCTCGCAGTATCTAGCGTAAAGTCTTTGAAGACTCTTGCGCGCGGAAAATGCTCCGAATTTGCATGTAGCAAAGCATCGTCCGGAAAATTCCGGTAACGAAAGCTATTCAAACTTTTCGCATCACGCGGGAAGCGCATCCTTCGCCCCGGGGGCGATCGTGAAAAAGGGGTAATCTTGAGGGTACGATACGCGCAAACTCGGGTAATTCGTATCAAAACCCGAAAAAGAACGACTCTCGTTCCGCCTTCTAACTCGATGCGAATTATCCCGAAGCGTTGCATCCGAACTCCCCGGCGTGTCGCATGTCGCGAGAAATGCCCAACGTTGGCACGAACTTGTTGCGAGATAAATGTCACGAAAATGGCTCACGTCGTTACTTGGAATCGCCGCTTTCGAAATTTCCGCGATTCCGCGGCATGTTCGAAGTCAATGGCACGTGAGATGCGGCGTCGAAGTTTGTCTCACGCACGGGAACAATTTTCGATAACGATCCACGCAGACAGCGAATTTCGCCCGATTTCGAGATAACAATGTTGACAATGTCGATAATTCCGCTTTGGACCTCTATCGAATAACAATTGTGTAGCAATTCCAAACTTAATCTCTGGAGATCGATTTATATCGAGCAAAATAAAACCGTCGCTCTTGGCTCGTCATAATTCAATGCCGATATAAATATTAACGTCGCAATATCATGACGCGACCTTTTTTATCTATATACGCTGACACGTGTATTGTTGCGCACAATTTCTATATAGTTTATAGTTCAAATTCCGAAGTTGAGTACAAGTGGAAAATAACTGCAAATTGATGATTAAGTTTTTAAATCCGTCGAATCACAGTTGCGCTATATAAATTCGCGTGCAAATCCCGATTCGTGCACACGTTTTACCCTTTATTACGGATCGTCGATTTTTAATCCTATTTCGTAGAATCGCTAAAACGAAACGCAATCGTACGTGTGACTTAAACCAGATGAAGAAACGGAAAAACAAGCTAAATCCGCATTTTTGTCTAGGTAAAAACAGCGCCTTCGAGTATTCTGCTTAGCGCGGACGTCCCTTGTTCAATTTTTTTTCAACCTATTCGCCTCTTGTGCCCTCTCTCTTTCCCTCTCACTAAAAGTACTCTACAAACGTGGAATTTTTACTACACCCTCGCGGTGTAGATCCTGACGAGGGTTCGTACGATGTCGCATTAAAGGCGAGCAGCGTTTAAAGGCGATCTCGCCAGCGCGGAAAAGGTGTTCTAGCCGCGGTTAAAACAAAACAAAAGACATGACACGTCACTAGAAAATCGTTCCATTACGAGGATACACTTTATATATTCATCTAATGTCATCTAATTATGTGTAAATTATAAATTTTATATCGCACAAAATATGACCTATTTTTATGCAATCATGTATATTTTTGTGTTATCGAAAATTAAATAACAATTTTTTACCTAACTTTGTGCACAATTCACATTGTATTGAGCTACATTTGTTTTTCATTGCTACGCGGAATTAATTAATATTAATAGCAGAAAGCGATTTCTTTAGTTGCTTGTTTTTCTTTGAAATGTTATCTTTTTTTATCTTTAACCCCGAGATATCTAATGTTTTCGTTTATTTCGATATATAATTTAATTATTGCGCAAACATTGCAACGGATGAGTAATTAAAAATAAATTATAAATGTTCCGACGTTTGAGATTTCTCTTGCACCTACAAATACCATGGAACGAGGTTGAGATGAAATATGCGCGTGATGTATACCGCGCTGCGAAATTAATTTTTATTCAAACTTACACCGCCATTGCAAGAATATTTAAAGCTAAGAATGTCTATTACGTACACGATTGAATTATTTAATTACACAAGTCATATTAACTAAATTCATCGCGATGGTGACAGACGACTGGAGGCGTAATAGTAGCAGATTAATACCATGAACAAATCGTGGAATAAAAACATTACACATTCACCTTTTTCTCGAATCGACGTGGAAGTCGATGTTATCTAAGAATTTACAGCAATGATAGTATGTGTCTTAATGATAGTATGCCATCTTTCTGTGTTGTTGAGCTTATCGGAATTACAAGGCAAATATGTCAGCGAGTTGTCTGGTTAATAATCATATCAACTTTTCCTTATCCTACGTCGAGAATCTCACTGGCATGAGCGATTAAAATCTCGGCTAAATGTGGAATTAAAAAAATAAACAATATTACGTATAAAAAAATTATTCACGAAAAAACGAACGGATTTATTGTTTCGAAATAAAAATGCGCAAAAATACGTAATCCGCTAAAATGTAAACAACATAGCTAAAACTGTGTGCATGATCGTACGTGTGTTATATACATAGATAATTCCTAAAAAAAAAAATATATATATATATATATATATATATTTATATAATCTAAAAATAATAATGTAGAATTATTGTGCATACGTAGTACTGAATATGTTTGATATAGACACAATTTAGTCAAAGTAAGAAAACGCGCAAAAACGTAATCCGTCAAATGTAAACAACTAAAACTGTGTGCGTGATCGTACGCGTGTACGTCAATATTTCATTCTTCCAGAAAAATAATCATTATACGTATATAGTACTAAATCTACTTGATACACAAATTAATATTTTTATAGAAAAATAAGAACACATCATTATGCGTATTTTAATATTCAATTTAACATCCAATTTTATACGGTCAATAAATAAAATCACGAGATATAGCGTTTAAACTGATATAAAAATTCTAACCACACATGTGTGCAATAAATATAGAAACGATAATATTTGCCGATTAAATGACTTATCTATCATATCTATTTTTTATTAGTTTTAGTATCTGATACTCTGATAATTATTTTCAGGGCGATAACGAATGTTACGTGAATCGAACGTAATATTCATCCTGCTTAAAAAATGTAACGACTTGTTTACGATCATATAATCGTTATTTATACATATAATCATTATTTATACATGTTTATAGTCTCATTGAATCGACGTATTTGCCATAAATACGCAATAACAGGTTATTACGCTATTACATTGCGCACAGATGTGATCGAATTTTCAAAGGATATTTATGTCAAACTTCATGGACTTACCGTTACGAAGAAAATTCTATAAAATTCGACGAATTTGATTCGATGAATTTCGAAGGGAAGATCTTTCTTCTCCTTTCCCCTGTGGTCCAGATTTACGGTTTGCCTTGAAAAGCAGAACTTTCTCTCTGTCCTTTCGTTTCTCTCTCACTACACTGTCATTTATGAGTCGCTTTTCTTCTCGCTCCTCTCTTCGTTAATCTCTCACATCATCGACTAAAATGCGCCGCGAAAGAGTTCTACGATATACGCGGAAACTTCAGACTTCTTCTCGTTTTCCCTCCTTCTATCTCCTTGTTTACCGTGTTGTCACACGAAATCGATCGCGTCGCGAGAAATCACAGATTCCGCGAAATTCGAAGGGACACGCGAAAAAGAGAGAGAGAGAGAGAGAGAGAGAAAGAGAGAGATTCATGCGTAGTACATTGATGCAACGTATGCGAGTTATCGTTGCCGTGCAGCAGCGAGCGTGCTCCCTCGGGGCGGTTTTTGTGCTTGGAGGTTAGGTCGAAGCATCTGGCGTCGTTTCTCGGACTTGTCGCTCTCAATTGTTGCGCCAAACGTCACTTTACGCGCTCACGACGAGACGTACGCGACGCGCACCGATATCACGCACGACTGCGAGCAACTGGAATTACGTGGAGCACCAAGTCGGAGCCTCAGCACGGAAGGACCGGTGAAAAACTGCGCGAAAATCCAACCATGCTGACTGCGCGACCGGCGTCAGACTGCCGCGAGAACGGAGCGGGGATTCAGTTGAGTGGCATCGCCCGGTTAGAGGAGTCGCTTCCCTCTCCTTCTCGCTCCCGCTGTCCTCACTCTCCCTCTCTCTCTCTCACCCTTCCATCTCTGTCGGCCGGCGGCTCGTCCCCCCACCCTCGCTCCCTACCGCCTTGCTCGCTCCCCTCTACTCGACCACCGCTCGGCTTCCCCACCGCCGCTAACTTCAGTGTGATTCAGTCCCCACTGCTGCGCAGTAGTGAAAGAGTTCGTGCGAGAAAGAGAAGGTCTTGTGCTGGTGACCTGTGGTGGTACGAACGAGAGAGAGACTGATAGTGCTTGTGTGGAGAGAGATGAAGACGAGCGAGAGCGAGAGCAGGTGACAAGTTTAGCGGAACGGAGACTGCGGCTGGAATCGCGAGAGAGAAGGCTGCGAGTGCGCAGTTGACCAGACAAAGATGGCGCGAGGTAAGTGAAGTATGTGTATATGTGCGAGAGAGAGGGAGAGAAATAGTTTGTGTTAGTGCCGCGTACGAAGGAGAGAGATAACGTGCAATGGCGCGACAAAGACGAACACGAGCGAGAGTACTACGAGTGAGATGCGCTAGTCGGACAGAGAGTACCGTCATTGTAACGATAAAGAGACTCGCCAACGGTGTATCGGTCGGAAGGAGAACGACGCGAATAAGCGGAATGCGCGCGCATGCGCCGTACGCTAAACTCGGCACGCGGTCGCGCCCAAATGCATCGCCTCGCGATTCACATATTGATGTACTACGCTCTTACACTCGCGGCGAGCCGATTGCGGCCGTCGCAAATGAGAGAGAGGATCGTAGACGCTAAAGACGGACGACGGTACTTGCTCTCGTATATACATCGCTTAGAACTGCGTAGGTAGTTATGTGAGTTTATCGCGTACGAGTTCGCCCAGAGGTCAACTCGCCGTTTTGATCGAGCTTGCACGCGTCGACGCGCTATCTATTTGCATGACGTGCGTTCTCTGTACAAGTTTAATTAGGATGGAAAACAATAGACTCCTTCGACCGTAGCACGATTTTTATTCTACACCTGTTAGTACAGTGGTTTTCTAAATATTCATATAAAATTTAATTAAAGAAATTCTTTTCTGGACGCGACCACGTTGTAGTAAACACTCGGTATTATTCTAAAAAAATATATCTTCGCGATTCAATAAAGAATTGAATATTATGTAAATATTTTAAATATTAAATTGCCTAAATTTTAAGGTATTTTTCCTCAGTGAAAATTCGATTATTTTTTTTCACAATTTTATTAGATTTTTTGACTTTAAATGTTTAAGCTTCAAGTAATTAAATTTCTCTCTCTCTCTCTCTCTCTCTCTCTCTTTGTCTTTTATTAATAGATATAAAATTTACCGAATAAGTTTTTATAATCAATTTTTGTATTTTGAAGATAAAAGTTTGCTGAAACTCCTTCATTTTCAATATTTAAATATTTAATTATCTTCAATGTATGAAAATTTTTCTACAAAGTTGATTTAAAACTTTCTTAACGATATATTTTCAAAGTTTGATAATTTTATGAAATATTCTAGCAGCTCTAATAACTAATCACTTTATAGATTCATCAATGCATTATTTATCTAGTTGATATCGGTATTTATATTTTGCGCGAGTTTTATTCATGTATTATTTTAGATTTTAGATGATCGAATTGGGTCGAAAGAGAATGCGAGATAACTTTCTATATCTATAACCCTCACGTGTTGATATACACCCTTTGAGAGCAATAATCGTGTTCGCCTGATTACTCTTTATTTCTACCGGTTTCGAGAAATAAAATCTATCGAAGCGAAATTAAAAAAAAAAATCCGTAATAAAAATCCGCAATATTTCTTTTGCCACGCATGTATATCAATAAACGCTTTTAGTAGAGAAAATGTGTGGGCAGTGATCCAATATAATTAGTCTGGATTTCCAAATCAAATCCAATCCATTCGAGCGTTGTTAAATTGATTTTCAATTAGGTGTCATCCTTATTAAGTGCATTCATGAATTTTTAAATGCAGGTAATCATATTTTTATATCTTTTCGATTTTCCCATTTAAATAATTACGTATCTAATTTAAGATGTATGTGTATGAATTGTGAATTTATAATCGTTGACATTTTAAATTCGAACATATCGTAAATATATAATGTGTTTTTTATTAAATAATATAATTTCACATATGTATATGTCACTTTTTGTCTTTAATCGCCGGATATAATATTGGAGAGTTAAAGTATATGAATGACGATTGTCACAATTTCTCACTGAGTTGATATTATGCAATATTTCTTGGCACATGGCTGGATCAGACTTTCGTGTCGCTCTTAGGAATTCTATCGCTTACTTTATTATGCAGCCGGTGCGATTGTAGCTTTCCTGCATTTTTCTGAATTCCTCGACGAACGCAATTCCATGTACACGCGACACACGAGACCGCGCTACGAAATAAGTCTGTGAAAATGCTGAGCCGCTGAGAGTTAACTAATGAATTCTGGCGCGGTTACACTAGCCGGACTCGGCTGCATATTTCGAGATTTTATCGTCGGCTTGAAATCAACCTGCCTGGCAGATGTTCTCTAAAACCTCGACCTCTCTCGCGCGCGTCTCCCGTCGTGCATCCTATACATCTCCCGTGACTACAGGGCTCTCTTGGGCCGGAGGAATGTCAGAGCGTAAGATGCTAAGTGCCGAGCATCTTATTCCGGTGCGAGAATTCGGGCGTCCCCGTTCTTCGTCGCGTTATGGCGAACACGAGCTGCTGCGTCTCAAATTGTGCTCCCGGGATTCGGATTATGTTCTTGAATTTCGGAGTATCATGTTCGAGCATGCGAATCGTCGGCGAGAGATCATAGTACTTGAATTCATATGAACGAAAAATACCAACGTAGAGAAGATTCGCATAGCGTTCTTGGATATTACAATCATCATCGTCCTTATGTAATCCTCTAAAAAATACTTTTTTAAATTATATTTACACAATTTCAACTTTTTATATTTTTATATGTATAATTTTACGTAAATATTCATACAAAATTCAATAATAGTTTTAATAACAATCATAAAATATATGTCTAACTTTTTTTTCTTAACAAACCGCCACTTCCGGTCAATTGGTTTCAATTCAGCTCTCGCTGTCTTAGAATATATTCCCATTCTCTTTTCCAAGCTCTTTTATTATGCGAAGTAACACTCAACGTAAGACGAAATCCCATGTCGGTAATTTCGTGAAAGTTAACAAGTTTTTAGCCGATTAGACTTTTAATCGTTACTACTTACTTTGCTGAGTGCTCCGTTTATCGCCATAGCCAATTAAAATTGCGATGCAAACGTCATTTTTGCTTGTTCCTCTCTCTCTTTTTCCCTCTCAAATCCTTCGAATTCTAATTACTAAAAGAAAAGGCAATGTTTTCGTAATTTTATGTACCTCCATTATTTTATAACACATAAAATATTCATGGAATATTTGAAAAAATTATTTTTCATGAATTTTTATTATTGTATTATCTTATAAAATTTAACCGAAATATAAAAAAGAAATACTTATTATTAGTAAAATCAAATACATTTCTTATACATTTCTTTTACTTGAAAAAATTACAAATTAATGAAAATATAATTAATTTTTGATGGTACCAACAGTAAAAAAATATGGTTAAATTTAAAGATGAAGCGATTTCAGATTTATTAAAATATGCGAAAATATTTTAACAATCTTGAATCGAATGAATTAGTGAAAAGAAATTACAAAGATATTGCGTTTTACTAAAGCATGTTTCAGTTGCTATTAATATTATGACTGAGCATTGTTTATGTTTAATAGTTGCCAGAGGAAAATTGTTTGTCGAGTACGCGCAAGTATATATTATATTTTTTCTTCTTTGCAGTTTACGAGAGGAAATGAAATTCTTTCTTTCTTCAGATATAGAATCATGTTTCTGCGAGCGTAATGATGGAAAATAGAATTCATCTCGTATATTTCTCTTTGCTTTCTATATTGATAGAAATTATCAAGCGACGAAGCGACGTATCGATTTTGAGTTCACTTCATATACTTCCGTAATTTATCGCTGAAGATTCTAAGAGCTCTTCTCTTTGTATCGAAAAGGATGCTTAACAAAATTCGTTCATTCGTAATTAAATTAAGTCGGTTATAGTAATGGAATAAATTCGAAATAAACACATCTCGAGTTATTATTACAATGAAAAATTTTCCCTTAAAGTCTTGATATATTAAAAATTTATGCAAATACCGCGTGTAAAATTATGCGTGAAAATTAACGGGAATGGTGTACGATAAAAAATTATAATACGATAAAAACGGGAATGAGTCCGATAAAAAATTTCTCAAGTTCATTTGTCATTTTTAAAGCATTTTCCGTTCGCGCGCGCGATATGACATTGTACCTGGCAATCGGTAAAAACTAGAAACGATATGTATCCAGAATGAAATTCTGTCTCCGATGGATTCAAACGGTATGTCAAACCGGTCCGCGATCGAATCGTGTACATAGTTCATACCGGAGGCGCCTGACGGCTTTGTCAGTAGACAACTCTCTTGTCCTTCTGTTTGTCTTGTCTCTTTTGAGCTGACATTCCATAGCGCTTGGTACTCTCTCTCTATCGGAAAGCGAAAAGCACGCGGATACAGTGTGTGCAGACGAAGCGTCAGAGTGCTGTGCTTCATCTCGGATGAGTTCTCATCTTTTCCGTTTCTCACGCACGCGATTCAATTTTTCTCACTTTGCTTCGTGTCGCGGAGCAATCTTCTTTAATGAGATTATAACTCATAAATTCTTGTAAAGTTTTTGTAATCTCGAGTAAAAAAAAGTATCGAGCAGAAAAAATATCGTTGCTTTCATACACCTGATTGTATGATTCAGATGATATTCTCATATTTTATTATAGGAAAATGGATTGTTTTTATGCCGGTTATTAAAAATTGACGATTTTTAATTTTTTTATTGGGGAGCATTTTCTGATATTAGATGCAGAGGTTAACGTCACTATTAAGGTGATGATAATCTGTTCCTACAAGTAACTCGTTAGTCGATATGTTCCACACCTGTTGTGGATACCACAAATGTGTGATCAAACAGGCACGCTACGCTTTGACGCATCGAAGGACACTGTACGTGCTAATTAAATGCGCCCTTTAACGTGATACAAGGTCCGCGTAGCATCTCGTACTGGATGAACACTTCGTAATATTGATTGATAGTCTAGAGAAGGGACATACAAAGGTGTATGTACAACAACACTTTGCTAAAATATTAAACATGTTACAAATGATTTTTTTATATTTATTATATAATTGCGATGTTACTGAAATAAATTACTAGTCTCTAGTATTCTAGGAGCCCGAATTATCACATGATGTATATTGTAATATAATCTAAGATTAACATCATTTTAAGCCGATGCTTCCCAATCAATTT